TTCTCCACAAAAGAAACGTTACATCTGAATTCATCCCAAAAGTTCAATCTCTTTCCTGAGACTCCATGTGCAACTTTATCAAAAGTCAATAAACTAGGTTTACCCATTGTTCTCCATGTCTGTTCATTTATGATGGCGATATTAGATCCTGTATCTAGTTGCAATTTTATTTTTATATCATTAATTTTCACAAAAACAAATTTCCGCTTTTGAGATGTCTTGTTGATTTCCCTTTTAGGCTTCTTATCGTTATTCCATGTATTTATCATATTCACATAAACTTAATTTTTTCTCCATTTTTTGTATCTGCAGCACGTACTTTTGTGTCCTAATCTCCCACATTCATAACATTTCTTGTTCTTGAAGAAGCAATCACTTTTAAAATGCTTACCTCCACAACCGTTGCATGTATTAAGTATTTGGTGGGTATAGTCTTTTTTTACTGTTCTGTTAGTAGTTGAAAAATGTTTTCTCCTAGATGGTCGGGCACTGTGTACCTGTGAATTGTCTTTTTTCTTCAATCCTTGCGGTATTGAGTTTCAAACGCACAATACGGTGCCAATCTTCCGCTATTTTCTGGAGAGTTAATTCGGAATCCATTTCTAATTTTGCAAGTATCCTGTATCTTATCTCCATGTCCTTATTAGAAGTTAAACCCTTTACGAATATCAGGCAATTAAATAAATCAGGAGTTAATTCATTTAACTTGAATTTTTCTCATTCTCGATTCACGACTAACTGCATAAGTGACAAAATTTTAAGACATTGCCATCATGTATTCAATAATTAACTTCTATCACCCAAAAAGTTTGATAGTATTAGAACAGTTTCATCAAAATTTATCTCTCCTGGTTTTTTAGGCAAAATATAATTCACATATTTCTTATGTTCAACAGGGGACACATTCCTTAATAATAATCGAACATTCTTTTCATCATTCTAATGCGAACAATCCATTTTGAAGATCGTAACTTATATAATAAGCTGAAAAAGTTATCCCTTCATCTGGAGTGTACACAACTTCGCTGATTGAATTAGGAAGAGCATCTGGAGTGAATGAATCTGAAGTTTTTCCTGCCATCGTTTTGGTAAACAACTCAAAAATCTTCTGTTGTTGTAGTTGTAATTGTAATTGCTGTTCATATTGTTGTTTTTGTTGCTGCAACTGTTGTTCTTGTTGTTGCTTTTGTAGCTCCAACATCTGAATCATGATGGCTTTTAATTCTTCCATTCTGCTCTACTCTGATGAATATTTTGCAGATTCATTTTTCCCCGTGTAATTTGAATGAATCCTTGTGTAATTTGAAGAACCGTGGTGCAAGTTCAAGGAATCCTCGTCACCACGTTCGTGGTGTCAACTGTAGAAATGCTGTTAAACAATGCTGGTGTCAGACGCCTACGAATAATACTCGTACTAAAAACACTTGCCCGATAATACTCACTCGGAAAGTAACCACCATATAATAATCTGAATAGTAAACAGTATAGTGACCAATATTGAGAAATAGTATAGTGAATAGCATAGAGATAAAGGATAGTGTAGAAAGAGTGATCCGTAGAGTAATAGAGGATAGAATAGAAATGGTGATCAGTTAGACGTCACGGAAATTCCCATATATACATTTCCTTTATTATTATGTGATCTACTTATTCAAAATGGGATCGCCTGTGTTTGCTCTCTGGAGATCTGTGTTCAAACTCCAGTGATGGCAATTACACTTTATTCCTATATTGTTATGGGACCTTACCCATAATAACATAATGGACTATTCCATACTTAATAAATACTGTGCCTTAAGAGGAAGCAGAGAGTTCAGTCTGAAGTCGGGCGACCGGCTGATCGTTTGATCGGTTGAACTCTCTGCCTTCGGGCGGGGAGGAACCCGAACGCGGCTACGCCGAAGGGCGGAGTCTCTTTCGGGGAGATAAACCGACCCCGAATCCGTTTATACGGGTTCAAAGAGCATATTTTTGGCCGAGCCCACCGGTTCGGAAATCCCACGTTAAACCGGCCTTGTGCCACATGATGCCCTCGTGGGGGGTGGCTAAATACTGTTCACTCTGAAGTCTGGAGTGAAGTCCGTCAGAGGTCTGTCAGTCAGTCAAAGCGAGCGAGTCAGTCAGTCGAGTCAGAAGCAGTCCGAAACAGAGTCGCGTTTAGACAATTGCTACTAAACCTGATTGTTCGTACTAAAACTTTCTACTTCTCTTTATATATTCCTGTTTGTAATATATCTGTGTTATTCCATATCAGTGTTCGAGTTCTTCTTTATTGGTATTATCTTGGACTATCACCCGGGGTACAAGGAACCAGACCATAACATATATAAAACTCGATGTATTGCTATAAATGATTATTCAAATCCCCGCCAAAATTTTATTACTTTTATATCTTTGCTTGATTCAGCTTATAATGTTCTGGGGGGAGCGTCTTGGGGAAAGAAGACGTGGCTCTTGGGTCACAATCCATTGGGTTTCGAATACTTGGATGAGTATCACCACCGGAATTTAGGGGGTATCGGCGCTATATTGAGTCTAATTAGTTTCTTCTTCGTCACCAAGGCCCGTTGGTCCAGTGGTTTGACACTTGTGTTGTATCGTAACGGTCCGGTTTCGATTCTCAGTAGAGGATACACACTACTGATGAGTCCCAAATAAATCGTCCAGTGATTTCTGCATTCGGTTGAAGATTCTTCTAGAGTGAATGAATTTCTATAAATTATATATATATATATATATATATATATATATATATATGTGTGTGTGTGTTCGAACCCCAATCAGTAAAACTTTAGTGGCTATCGAGTTTTGTATGAGGTTGCTATAAGTGCGTAAACCGAGGAAGCAAGAAGAAGCGACATTTAAGAAAGAACACCATAAGGTTTGAAGATGCGATATTTGGAAAAAAATGATACCAACATAGTGTCAAAAAAAACTTCGGTCATAGTGACTTATGAAAGCTAAAATATTTTAATACTATATTCATTTAATACGAAGCCCAAGATCCAATCAAGGTAGAGGCCTACTAAATGATGTTGATGCGAGGGCGTAATAAAGAAAGGAGCAAAAGTTTCGTATTATAAGGATACGTAGAATGGATAACGTTTCAACCCAGGACATGAAGATTTTAAGTTCGAGGTTATCGGAGAAGTATATTACCGAGAATCTATACCACAAAGTAATTGTGAAGAACCTGTATAAGAGGTATTTCATGTTTACGGATGGAATATGAAAGGGATGGGGATGATTCGACTCTGCGTACGCGGCAGTGCGAGTCTTGGCTGTGAGGGTCTGGGATGGTGGAACTAAGGAGTTTACCTCGTCTCACCATTTACCGTGAAATAAGCGCAGATTAACGAGAAGCTAGCAAAGTCTATAGGAAAGGTGTTGTAGGGTGGACTGTCCTCTATCAGACATTAAACTACATCCGGCAGCAAGGATGACCCGTGGTGGTAGAACCTGTTAGGGTCCCAGCTACTGGCAAATATTAAACCGGCAAACAATATATATATATATATATATATATATATATATATAAGGATCAAAGAGTAATAAATTATAACCATGGAATATTAGTCTTTGAGCCTCTTATATTATATTCTTACTCTGTCCTGGACATTGAGTTCTACCTGGATTATATCCTATTGGGAATTTTTATATATATATATATATATATATATTGACCACTAATATTATTAATCTATCTATCTATATATATATATATATATATATATATCACATTATGAAATGGACAAAGTCCGACAATTATTTTAAGACGTTTTTATGTTTATACATTCTTTTTATAGATCCAAATATTTAAGTAAATGATCTGTTTATAATAAACAGTATTAAATAACATTTACCGGCCTGAATGTCCGAGAAATTTTCACAGAAAATATTCGTCCTCCGACAGGATGCGAACCTGTATCCTATACGGAACCGTCATTTAGCTTGACGTGCCTTTACCGATTTGTCCACAGAGGAGCGTTCGGTTAGATTCATGGAAGATTGAAGTTTAAATAAAGTAAATTCGACCTTTCTAACCGAATGCTCCTCTGTGGCCAAATCGGTTAAAGGCACGTCAAGCTAAATGACGGTTCCCTATAGGATACAGGTTCGAATCCTGTCGGGGGAGGAATATTTTCTGTGAAATAAATTACAATAAAACATTTTACATTGCTACACAAAAACTTTCATGTTTCAGCACTAAGCTGGTACTTCCTCAGACGATGGTAGATAACTAATGATAAAAATAAAAACAAACCTTTACTGATTATCGTAAGTTAAAAGCATAAGGTCAGAATTAAAAATATACTTATGGGTATGTCTAGATTAACCAATGAACGCCAGGTCTACGCTAAAATATAAAAATATGGCCAGAGGGTCGAGGCGGCTTGGTTATCATGACATGTTAAGTAAAACCGATGCTTAGACACGTCATTCAATGATACAAGGGAACAATTTTTAAATTTACCTAATAAATCATTTTTATTATTCTTCTCTGCCACAATCTGAAGACGTATCATCTTCCTACTGTGTTGTGATAAACCCCCCTACAGTAGAATACACTCTTCCTCTTTTGTGGTAAACCCTCCTAGAGTAGAATGAACTCTTCCAATTTTGTGGTAAACCGTCCTACAGCAGAATGGACTCTTCCTCCTCTCATAAATACAAACTGCGAGAGTCGGATAGCAGAGTGTCAAGTGACGTGGAGTAGGAGACGCAGTGCTAATCTACATATTACTGACACTATTGTTTTGTATATATCTTCAATATACATTTTCAACCTATCTTCGTCTTTCGTGTGTTTTTTTCTGGCCCCTAAACAGGCCACAACACACACACACACACACACACACACACACACACACACACACACATATATATAAATATATATATAATTCTGTTCGTATCTGTCTACATCTATGTGCTTATCTCAGATAGATACATACCTACATATAGTGTAACCGACGAGTGAGCGATAAAGATATTTATCTCAGCCTGTTTCTATCTATCTATCTATCTATCTATCTATCTATCTATCTATCTGTTTGTTGTGGTAAAACCTCTTACAGTATAATGAACTCTTTCTTCTCTCATAAATACAAACAGGCCACAACATACTGAAACATGAAAGTTTTTGTGTAGCGATGTAAAAATCTTTTAATGTAATTTATTATAATAAAGATATTATAATATATATATATATATATATATATATATATTTGTGTGTGTGTGTGTGTGTGTGTGTGTGTATGTGTGTGTGAAGATCAATTGTGTCTCAATTTATTACATACTCGCTGGTAGTTTTGCCTTCATTTTTATTGTTTTTGTTTTCTCCCCGTTTTTCACTGACCTCGTCCTTGCTTTCTTTCAATATATTTGGTTTTATTTACCGGAATGAAGGTCCTTTTTTATGGAATCAGTCACATATCATCCCGGCTATATCTCTGGAAAACGGATAACGCCCTCCCTTTCATAGCTACAAAAACAAATCGATACACCACCCACTTACCCAGAGATGGAAAACAATAATAATATCCATAGAAAAATATATTCCGCTTGACTGAACAGTTGTTATTTCTAAAGGAGACCCCCCCATAAGCGACATATCCCACTCTCCTTTGTCCAACAAGCTTTTATTGTCAGTATCAGTGGCACTGTTAATCTTTACGAAACATAGGTTACTATTGTAATAACCAAAAATTAGACGAGAGTCAACTGAAAAGTTCTTAGACTGACCAAAATACTCTAATGGAATGTGACCAAATGAGGTTTATTTGTGGTCTATACACTTCCACCATCGGTTTCACAATGCTTGCTTCCCAGTGTTGCAGAAGCTTTCATCCTTTTGCTAAAAAGAATCGTCAACAGCAGATATAACGTCATCCTCACTGAGATACTGGCTCCCAGTTCTTTTTTCATGTTGGGGAACAGATGATAGTCAAGTGTGGCCAAATCAAGACAGTAAGGAGTTGAGCAACCAATTCAAAATCACATTCACTCACAGTAGCTATTCAAACCAAGGATTTATGCGCTTGGGCATTGTCCTGGTGAAACAAGATCCCTTTCGTCAGTTTTCCTAGGTCTTTGGTCTTCATACACTTTCGTAACTATTTCAGCATGTTGGAATAGTACTCTCTATTGATGATGTGGCCCATTTGAAGATAGACAATAAACACAGTATCTTTTGAACTCCCTCCCTTACAAAAAAACGAGATGAAGCGATAGTAGATAAAACTACCTTGACCTTCTTTGGAGCAATTATGGTGGGGTTTTCTACTGTATGGGTTGACTTTATATCTCTGGCTCTGTGATGAATCCAACCTTCATCCTGGTTTAGGAAACGTTCAAGCAAACCAGCTGAATGTACCTCAGACAATGTCAGACTTTCCCGTGGTATGATCAGTCTGGTGAGTTTTTTGATCAAGCGTCTGAAGAGGTGGTATCCACCGAGCAGAAACCTACTCTTTACCAAGTTCATTGCGTAGAGTGCTGTATCTCGTGCTTTCGAGATAACAGATGGAAATAAATAAGGGAGACAAGCTCGTAGGTGAGTCATGAAATAGAAGGTTTATTACACAAAGGTGCAGTTAACTATTGACCGAATGCTAACTCTCTTCAACTCTGCTTATCTTCGCTTATTTATTTTCAGGGAGTTTTTGTTTGAATATTTGGGGCTCATATCAAAGTCGAATATGGTGTTAACACTTTTTGGCTGTTACTACTGCTTGGTCAGGTGATGTTAGACAGCGTTAGCTAAAGATGTCTACTCACGTTATCTCTTCAACGTTATCTATCATAGCATGTTGGTTTACAATATAGTTTGTCCAAACGCCTAGCAATGACACAGAGCGGTAAACGTTGTGAATTAATTTTATTTTCCTTGCAGGGATTTAGTATAAAATGAGGAGAGTATTAAAAGGTATTGTCATTATTCATAAAAGATATAGCAGCCACATCGATCCTATGGCCTGAGCAATTGAGGCAATATTTAGTGTAGTGGTTCCTGATCCACTCTCACTTTATTACTGTCTTTCTTTAACTCTCTCTATGTCTGATTTTCTCTAATTCTGTCTTTATCTATCTATCTATCTATCTATCTATCTATCTGTAAATCTGTTTCAGCTCTACTTAAATCTATGTCTTTCTATCTATCTCTAAATCTATCTCTATTTGTATTTCTAACTCTATCTATCTCTAAGTCTATGACACTATCTCTAACTCTATTTAACTCTCTGTCTATCGATCTCTAATTGTTTCTGTCTATCTCTGAATCTGACTCTATTATCTCTCTCTCTCTCTCTCTCAGTTGTATCTGTTGTTTTCGAGATAACAGAAAAATAGTAAGGAAGACAAAGGTATGTCATGAAGTACAAGGTTTACTACACGAAGGCACACTTAGCAGCTGACCTAATGTTAACACATTATTTACCCAAGCACCCCACAGAGCGGGATGTGTCACAAGACCGGTTTAACGTAGACCCCGTAATAACAGGACCGGTTTTGTCTACCTCCCAAGATGATCCTCTACCTTTCAGCAATGCCTCGTCTGGGCCTTCGGACAGAGGGTTCGACAAGCATTAAGATCTTAGCGCGCAGCTAAGACCTAATGTTGACTCAGTATTTACTAATCTCCCCACAAAGCCGCATATGGCACAATGCTTGTCTTCTTTTAACCTGTGGCATTACGAGCCCGTAGGTTCGAGTAAAAATTCCCCATAGATCCCGTACAAACGGGGTCGAGTTTGTCTACCTCCCCAGACGAGACTCTGCTATTCGGCATAGCCTCGTATCGGCCCCTCTCTGCCCGAAGGCAGAGAGTTCGACAACCACTAAAAGCTTAGCACGCGGTTAAGAACTAATGCTTACAAAGTATTTACTCGAGCTACCCACAGAGCGGGATGTGACACAAAACCGTAGGCCCAGGCAAAAATTCTTCATAGAACCCATATTAAGGGATTTGGGTTTGTCTACCTCCGCAGACAAGACCCTGCTCTTCGGTATAGAATCGTCTGGGTTCCTCTCCGCCCGGAGGCAAAGTGGTCGACAAGCACCAAGAGCTTAGCGCGCGGCTAAGACCTAATGCTAACTCTGCTCAACTCCATTTAACTCCGCTTATTTACATAAACGGACGATTCCATTTATGTCCTATATGACATAGGGTATTCGTGACTCTCTCACGGTATATGCTAATAGTAGTGACTACTTGATTTATAGTCCCATCGCCTGTCGTTCATTATCTTGCGGCGAACACGATCAGTATTTTCCCTAGAAGGCAGCAGTTATTTACTTATTTGCTATATAATATGTCCAGGATGATACTCATTACTAAAATATATCCAAACGGTAGGCCTAATTGCATTGCTCAGAATCTGGGGTCGTATTGTACACGAGCTAGATGGACAAATCAGGTTTTTCATAAAAAGAAAAATTCAAAAACATAAACTTCAGTAGCCGCTCCATTCATAGACTAGGCGTATACACGTATATATATATATATATATATATATATATATATATATATATATGAAGAAATATAGTTTTAAGGTGTGCTATATTTATGGGATAAAGTTCTCAGTATCAGAAATAGAGCGTATGTGAATATAAATATAAAAGTGAACTTTGAAGTCAACACTCAGAGGCGACAGGCTGTTTCATGCTAGACATGCATGAAAGAAAGATTGCTGCCTAAATACAGAAATATATATATATATATATATATATATATATATATGTATTTCTGCCTAAATACACATACACACACACACATGCATACACACACACACACACACACACACACACATATATATATATATATATATATATATAAGTTCAGAGCAGATAACATTAGAAAGATTTTAGAGTTCCATGAAAATAAGTGGATACGACGCACTATCCAGACGGATTAATCACATACTTAACAATATAGATATTATTAATATATAAACCCTCAAATCAGTACCTACCCACATTTCTCACCCACACAAGACAGACATGCTTACGGAGGTGTGGAGGCCTCACACTTATACACAAACAGATACGAATATACACACTTACACACATCATATTCACTCGCTCCCTAAGAACCAAATAACACACACACACTTAACAGAGACACATCCTCTTTCCAGGAACCAATAAAACTGTCAAAATGACCAAAGGAATTCAGAGCAGCATGAATCCATCCAGCTCTTATCTTAAATAACAACTTAAAAGAGACTGTTTGACCAACAAAAAGACTGACCAAAATTCATGTTAAAAAATAAAAAAGAACCAAATGAAAACTAAAGACAAAAGTTCATTTTCTCCATCAAGACATTCATTTCTGTAGTTCACTGCTACCAGCAAGCAGAATTTTTTTCTCCTGATGATGGCCATGTTGGCCGAAACTAGACGAGGAATCTAAATGAAATAATAATAAGAACGAAAGAATATTAATATAAAACCCAGTGTGTCTGAAGATTTTAATTTTTAATATATATTATTGTTCAATATATATATATATATATATATATATATATATCCTTGTGCAAATTAATTGAAACAAAACGAATAATTCCGTTATTACTTATTTTTTTCATATTTTTCCAATGAAACTTGACCCAGTCCACATGTTAGTACTTTGTATATCCATTCCGCGAAGTCATTCCTTTCAGATTGACCCCATATTCACGATTGGATTTAAATCAGGAGAGTTTCCGGGCGAGTCTACAGTGCTTGGATCTGCTCGATGGTAAGGCTTGCCAGCATGGTCGGGTAGCTTTACAATTTCTATGTACTTTCTTGGAGTAACGTCCATCGCAGACAATGGCCGTAGGACAACTTATCGACAAGCGAGAAAGTAGTATCTGGGCGTGATAAAAATCTGATGCAATCACGGATGACGCAATAGCAGATTTCAGTTCCGCAATTGTTAGAATTGCTGAACTGAAATCTATTGCTTTACAAAGAAAGTTTAGAATTGAATACAATATAGAACCACATCATCGGAACACTATTGTTAAATGGATGAAAAAATTAGAGACAGGCTCCGTCCATGATAAGCCACGGTTTGTAAAATCGTATTACCCTTTGTATTGCTAATGATGGAGGACATGTGGAAACTTAAATAAAATTTCAATAAAACCTTAAAAAATATAGATTTACTTCTTTCTAATCCTTTTTACAAATTATTTCTATCGCAAATACAAACAATTTATAAATTTTTTAAAGTGCACACGACCTTTATAGACACCCTGTAGATGTGTATGAGAAACCCACGTAAAAAAATAAAAATAAAAATAAAAATAAAAAACTCCTTCGGTCACAACCTGACTTCGTAAAGCTGCTATGCAAATATTATAGGTTTCTCGGTATGTTGGTCGGGATGAAAGCGTAGCATCTGTTCTTTCCCATTTGAGATGGAAGAAAAAGCCCGGTCGGAGGGATTCCAACCCCGCGGGGCACCTTCCACGTTGCACTAACAGATGTGTAATATCAACACCAGCGTCACAATTGCTGTGGGTACCTCCCATAAAAAGGCCTTGTATCAAACACTAACTTAGTGGTGAGGTCAAGCAAAAATCATCGTAGTTTTTATGTTAGGATCAAAGTGTAATATCTGTTCCACCCCTCAGTCGTGTGTTACATGAAAAGGATCTGGAAGTATTCGGACACGTTTGTGCTACTGTTCACCTGCAATAACACGACTCTGTGTCAAATTGCAATGCCGGTAATTGTAATATTAACAGTTTCCTTACAAGGAAACCTTCGGCATTCATTGATCGAACAGCCAATGCTCCTCGAATTACGCTTTTCTTCACGAAGTAGCCATCGGAGTGGGATCGATGTGTTTTATCTGTTCTCATTTCTGATCGTAATGCTGTTCTGGGTATGTCGATAAACTACATCCGCATCCTGGGTAAGACGATAAACTACATCCGACAGCAAGGCCTCTGATCAGGAGGTTTTGAGGAGCGTGGAACCACCGCTTAATTGCTGGTGTTCCCAGGTCAACCTTGACCCGGAGTGGTAGTACCTGTTAGGGTCTCAGGTATGGGCAAATAGTTAACCCCCAAACTGGGGTCAAAACAATATGAAAGTTTAAAAATAGGTTTTAATACGAGCAATATATATTTTGGAAAAGTTATTTCCAGCAATAAATTATTACAAGCAGTACATTTTTTTAAAAAATTCCCAGCAATACATACTGATAATTTCATTATTTTTTATGGCTTTAGATGTTGCATCCTTTTAATTTTTGCGGTCATTTAAAATCCTCAAGCGATGTGGTTACTGCTATTTTGATAAAGCAAGAGACGGCACATCAAGGCAAGACTCCAAGTTAATATTGTTAGCGGAAGATGCCTTCCAAAATCTCAGCAAAGTATTAAGTAACAGAAAAAAAATCATTTAGGAACAAACAAAATAGTACAAAACTGTTACGTAAAATCAGTCCTCCTGTATGGCAGTGAATCTCCTCACAGATGAAGAGGAGACTTCAGCCAGTAAAAAATGTTCTCCTACAGGAGGATGATGAGGATAGCATGTACCAAACATGTTGGAAGTGACGAGGTTTTAGAGAAGACAGAAAGAAAAAGAAAACATACACTTAACGTCAGGTACAGTTAAAATTTCTAGGGCACACAATGAGGAATGAGGGCTTGGAAAATCTGATACTCACAAGGACAGATCGTAGGCAAGATGGACAGAGGAAAATTACGCATAGCTTGCTTAGTGAGCTTGAGCCTATGGAAGACGGAACAAAGTTTAGGCGCTGTAATAAAAATACAAAATTTATTAATTGCAACTAGGGGCGTTGTGAAGAGCTATGATCGCCTACATCCCGAAGGAAAATGCCACTTAGTAAATGATTCTAACAAAGCGTTTTACTAGTAAGTGTCAATTTTGCATTGTCAAGTGTTCTTTTTACTTCTTGCGATGATATCCAAAGGCGTGTAGACGATTGGATCTCTATTATCGGGGCAAGAACGAATGTAGACTCCTTAGGAAGTTATAAATTCGTCTGGAAATTGCGTAATTGTATTAACGTAAATCTCGCCTCGTTGTTTTTTGTTTTTCGCGGCATTTGTAAATGTTTAGTATTTTTTACAATTCTCTGTTTCCGCAATAAGAAATTAGCTGTTAACCTTTAACCTTTAGACCTACCTGACCTATTTGCTAAGCGGTAACGTAGATCTTTCAATTACAAAATAGGTGTAA